CCGGAACAGTGACATCCGGAAGAGCCTTGGATTACAGCCTTTGCTTCTCCAGATTGAGAAATCACAGCTACGATGGCTTGGGCATGTGTTGCGAATGCCTCCAGAAAGGAAGGCTATGCAATTGTTACTTGCAAATCCGACCGGCAAAAGGTGAGGGGACGGCCAAGATTAACCTGGTGGAAACATATGGAAGGAATCTGTTCCAGACTGCATTTGTCTTTTTGCCGAAGGCTCAGACTCTGGCACAGGATCGGGAACGTTGGAAGCACTGTCTGACGCGTCTGCCTCCGCGACCCGAAAGGAGAAGGGGGAATGGAAAAAGAAGAAGAAGAAGAAGGAGAAGGAGAATGAGAAGCAGGAGAAGGAGAAGGAGAAGAAGAAGAAGATTGGACTGTGAAGACGGACCGAGTTTGTTCCGAAATGTCAGATATCCCTAATTAAGGAGCATTGTGTGCGTTGACTTCCCGTTTGTGACTTACCTAAAGATTATATCACCTCCCACATAAAGAAATCATGTACGGTTTTCTAGTAGTCTGATTATCACATTTTCCAGCGTGTTCTTCGACAGCGAATTTTACGTTACCGTTTTACGTCCACCAGACCCCTATTTGTAATTCTTGTACGTGGTCAGCGCCCTGAATGAGCTGTCAGCAATTACTGGCCAAAAAGAAACGCCCAAGCACTGCGACGTTAGTCAACGTGGTTAATCTTATTTTTCACCTGTCCGGTATGACGTTGGTAGTTCACGTGAAATTCTTGCTGATGGACTCTTCAGTTAATTTGGTCAGATGGACAATGATAGTATTTCTATTTGACGATTCTTTCGCTGTTTGACAGGTTATTTCATAGAGTGTAAACAAAATATGAATAAAAGCAAAACTCGCCATGCAGCTGGGTCATAACGAGAATTAATCATATTTGGAGGCGATTGCGTGCTAAATAGTTCAATAGACCTTAAATCGCATACTGGCAGAGAAGAATTGTTTTGAAGTCTGGAAAACTCAAGCCAGTATCAAATGAATAAAATGTGATAGATTATGGAATTTCCGGAAGTTGAAGGTTTTATGAGGAAAATTATCTGCACATGGACAATACTTATAGCAAGCAGCTGATGAATGGATTTTGACTAAATCAGGCAAGGTTGTGAATGAAATTTTCATAAGCTCCATGAATCGATCACATTTCAATTCCATTCTACATGAATGGTTGTGCTAAATGATGTTCAAACTGTTTTGCCATGCTGCTTTCGTCTACTTTAGAGAACCATGTGTACTTTACGAGCAGAGTATAAGTAATTGTGCTATAAAATTTTGAGACGCTAAGCAAAAAAGGGCTCATGAAATCTGTAGTGATGGGAGATTGAAAAGATGCAGTAGGTGATGTTGAGTTTGTGTGCGTTCTGCGTAAGGTATTTGATATATGATCATTTGCATACGCAGAACGATTCTGTTTTTGAAATCCGCCGCATTAAAATCTTTGCTAAAATTTTTCTATAACGCACCAGCTAATGCATTGCAGAACGAACAATTCCTCTCCGAAGGCAGATCTACCTCTTTTGTGTTCGTTTTTGTTGCCTGAACATCGCCTGCCTTGTTTACACCCCTTCTGCAGCTGGGAACGACGAATAAATAGTTTATGCCCAACTGGTTTTCTGAACAGGACCAATCTTATTTTCTTGATCTTTACATCGAACGATGCCACCTGTGTCCGGAAGAGACAGAGCCATTTCTTATGTGTGCTGTCATTTGAAATCCGTTACACGTCCAAGCAGCGCTTTTCAACGAAAGATAGTTCTTGGCTGTTGAAGACTTTCCTTATTGACAGAGTTATTTCACACTTGACCTGTCGAACGCGCCCAGAAAAAGACCAGTTGGGCGAAGCTGCACAAAGGTCGATGAAGCAATACTGTTTGGATGCCAACGCGGCAAAGATTTATAGATGATGCTGAAATTTCGAAACTACGCAACAGAAGTGAATGAAGTTTCATGGTCATCAAAAGGTCAGAAGTAAAAAGTCAACTAACTTTGACTTGTCCGGCTGTCACACGTTTATTTCAGTAACTCTCTGGCTCGATTTGTGAAGACAGTTGCATATGAGGAGGAAAAATCAGCTTTCGAGGCATTTACATCTAATTTACATGTACACAGATAAAACGTTGACAGAAAATTACTGGCGAATGGCCGATTGGTAAATAATCGGATTTACGGTTTATCTCATTTGCGTCATTGGCTGCATGGCAGACTCTGTTTGCACATGACGAGGTACGGCGAAGATTACGAAGGAGGATCGAAATCGGGCGGCTTTCAACAGAGGCACGCCTGTGATTCGTTCGTGTGCACGCTTGACGTGAAATATGAGCTTATTGTCGCCTCTTCTCCGACACTGCCAATGCGACATCAGCCGCCGTCTGATAACTCGGTATTCGGCGGGCAACTCGCGAATGACCATGCTCGACTGATTGATTGATTGATTGACTATCTCCTCGGCTGTTCGACACACCCGAGGACAAACTTCTAAATTTCGCCGAGGCAACAACAGCACCTGATTGGCGGCTGGCACAAACATGCCCCTCTTCGTCGTTGTCGTCGTCGATGCCACCGTTTGTTTGACTTCTGAGTCACGCCGATTAAATACTCACAACGACCGATGCAACTACCACAACGTGAGGACATTCTTATTTCGAACGCGACACGCTGCCACCGTCACGTCGTCTTTCTGGACATTCTGGTGACGAGACGTGAGTGCTGCTTTTTTGCAACAAACTCTGCGCTTCAGCGTCTACCATGTTTTTCCTCGAAAGGTTTTCATTGCCAGAAACAGCTCAGGTACATGTAACTCAACATCCTGCAAAGTTTGGTCGAAAGCTTCGAAGATGAGGTACCGTGAAGTGGTTTTGCCATACGTTTCAGATCAATTATCCATCCGTCCATCTTAGCCGGCAAAGCCAACTCAAATCCATAATCTTTCCTCCAAACGCTTGTTCATATCAAATGTTTATATATTATTCAAAGAATATTAGTTCTTTAAAGCCTTGTGTATGCTCATCACTTTCAGGTGTTTGTATAAGCATAACGGCTCTGATGGATGATGTTTACTCTGTTCACAGTTTATACAAAAAACGCATTGGCCACAAGACAGTTAGTACTGGGTGCTGCATCGTAGAAAGAATTATTCCTCTGCGAAAGAAGACCCATCTCTACCTTTTTACTTCATGTTGCATGCTGGCGGCTCCCTCAAGAAATGCTCGAGGACTGAGTGAACGCTTCACTCCCAACTAGACTTTCTAACATAGCTGACCTCTTTTTCTTAATCTGAACTTCCGTTGAAGTTACATTAACCTAGGAGAGGAGGGGAGGAGGGAGACATCTCTTACGTGGTCCTGTCATTTAACCGTCATTATGCCAACGTTGTCTCATGCAGTTTACGAGTCATCATTGATCCTTAGTAAGAGAAAAATTTGTCTCCATTCCGCAGAAGAACACTGACCCAATCGAAAGAAGGTACGGGCTGAGTTTTACGGAAATTCCTACTCTTTGTTCAGCCCAAATATTTAAATGCCACGGCGTATGTTTTGAAGGTCTGTTTGACATATGGGCATTCTGAGGGCAAATTCTGATAGAGAATTGAAAGTCATAGTCTGTATTTGACCCAAAATCTCTTGCATCGAGACGAATACTGAAACATACAGAAAATCTGCGATCCAGCAAATGGCTTTGACGTTGTAAAATAAGAAAAGTCAACAGCCAAATCTGCTAGATTCGATCCTCTCCTGATAACATGGCATTTGGTGCCATTCATCGGTGCATTACTTTTCTTCGCATCAGTGCATTCGTACTTGTTCATTTTTCTTGATTCTCGTTTTACTGCTCATTTTTAGTATTCATGGTGAATTATATATGCTACTGTACACATGGATCACGTGACTACTGAAATGCTTGTCGCGGCTACTTTTGTTTGCTGCTAAAGCTACTTTAAGCAGTAGACGTTTTGATCTGATCTAGCGATTGAAATGAAGTTTGATAAAAACTTTTACTATCAGCCGTCTGAAAGGAAAGCATGATCAAATTCGAAGTTTTGCGACTAATGCGAATCCAGTGACGTCCCTTTCTCCAAAATAGATGGCATATTTAATGCCTC